TTAATGGGTGACTGGCATGAATGTGAAATCAGGGTTAGACTGTAGTGAAAGCTCACTTTTGCCATCTGAGCTTGGACACCTATGGTCTTCAGGGCAGCCACAGCTTTTTGAGCTGCAGCAGGGCTGTCAAAGTCCACAAAGCCATATCCTGAGGAGACAAGTAGCATAGTTAGAGCAATATTCTATGGCTGGTGCAGAAAGTGGCAGACCACCATGTAATATGGGCTGATGTATGCCTCTGTGCAGGATGGTGGTGGTTTGTATGTTCACTTGTGGGTATAAAGTGGTAACATAATATATATGTCTGCATAATGTAGTTTAATTTAACTGATTTTGAATTTATGTGCATGTGGAAGCAGAGAAAGAAAAGCACTGAGGATGCAGATACAAGTGTGACGTTCATGGTCGGCTCTTTATCCGGGGGATAGATGTAGGGTGGAACCCATAATTCAGCTTCTACTGCAGCAGCTATATTTAACCTATTCAGGCTAAATTATGTTGAATATGTCAGGACTTTTTCAGCTAAGAAATGGACCACGATTAGTACCAAAACTTTAATATAAACCCTTTTCTTAGCTACAAGAAATTCTTGATAAGGTTAGAAAAAAGCCACAATGGCTTTAGCTTTTTTTTTACTAGATCACACAAGGTTACTATTAAATTCAGTCAGAGCTTTACATCTTTAACAAGGTCTTCTTTTACTGACAGCCTTCGATTAACTGGCATCTGTATAATTCAGAGGGTGATAAAGTATTGTCTTATACCCATCAGCACTAGTGAGAAGTCCCTCTGTATTCTGGTTGGCAATCTACTGAATAAACCAACGCTGTCACTCAGCAGAAAGAGGAGTCGTCGGCCTTCTACCCAGGAACCACCCACAGCAGTGACGGAAGAACAGACGAGGGTTGAGGCTGAAAATAACATGAGCTGGAAGGCAGCTTGAGGCAGACTGGCTTCCTAGTTTCCTGATTCACAACTACAAAGCTATTAAATGACTTTAGAAAGAATTCATACATTGGATGTCTACCAATTTCATGTGCAGAAGTGATATTCTCTCTCATAGTGAAGTGTTGACTATCCTGCAGCCACTGCAGTCCATAAGATTTCTATATTCATACTTAATTAAAAGCTAAATAAAAGATGGTGGCGTTGTAGAGAGTAAAGCAACGTCACACACCTTTACATTTGTTTGTAGTCTTGTCCAGGATGGCCTTTGTTGATACAATTTTGCCATACCTATGGGAGGAGCAGAAAGGCGAGGTATTGTTAGCAGTACCAGACAGAGCCAGTTATAAAACACACAGGGAAGGAGGGGTTGAGCAACAATCTATGACATCACCGTAAAAATATGAGAAACAGGAAGTGGTTTCCATGCACTGTTGAAAATCCCCACTATGTGAGAGCTAAACAGTCCCTTTATTGTCAGCCACACTAAACCACTATATCAAACTTAACACAGTCACCAAAATCTATTTTATGGTAGCTTCCTTGTAAAGCCCCTGGAGAATTCAGTCTCCAACCATTTTATATGGGAATTCATCTGTACAGAATGTCATGACATATAATTACTGTTTCCATTCAATATTTACGAATGCTAGTGATTTTTATCTGGCACTTTGTTGTCACAGAAGACAACTTTTCCCACCTACGGATGCTTGTATACATGTGCAAAGCACTGCCTCAAAGAACACAGAGATTATGACTTTCAGAAGTGTGGTCTATTTTATGTCGTTGCCATAGCTTCAACAGAGCAGTCTTGGTATGCATGCAGACCACAGAAAAGTACTTATGGTAACATCTGAGAGTACCGTGTTACTACAATGTCATTTCTTAAAAGTAGATTTGCTGTGGGAGCTGTTAAAAAAAACTGACAGTGTGGAGGTGAACAGGCAAAACCCTCCCACTGTTCTATTTTTCTTTTTAACACAAAAAAGTGTTTAATATTGCTGCTTATTAAAAAAGTAAAGAAACCCTGCCTAATCAAGCTAACTGTAAGCAGGCAACATAATTGGGATAACAGACTAAATCTTCATTTTATACTAAGCTTAACAATGAATGACAACAAAGGCAATACTATATAAATGGTGTCATCTTTCTATATAGCAGGCATGAAATTGTATTTGTAAAGCTAAAACATTTGCATTACTTTTTCACACCTTATTTGTATTTTACCAAATCAATAAGTGACTGCCACTGCAAACTGAAACTATAATCTAAAACTAAGTCGGCCAAAAATAAATGACTGATGAATAGCAGATGAGAGGAAGTGTGGTACCCACGGCTGACAGAGCTTGACCAGGTCATGGTCTGTGGTTGAAGGGCACAGGCCTCGAATGTAGAGGTTTGTTTTGCTGAGCTGGTCCCAGCCTGCACTGCTGCTGTTGGTGCTCGGGCTTGGTGGAGCCATGAAGCGTGATGATGGGATAACAGATGGCTGGAATGGGCAGGCAGGCACAGAAAAACTAGGTTGAATTTAAGTTTAAATGTTATTTATTACTGTACCAAATTTACCTCAAAGTTCTCATGTCAAATGAAAGATAAGGCATTTTTTGCTAAATGAGCACAAAAACTTCACAAAGTTTTTAATATTATGACATTAGACTCTACAAAATGAACATGAGTGATTGTGAAAATGTTACGAGATACAGGAGTGTTTCACTGTCCACTCTGGCTAAAGGTTTCAAGCTGGTTTCACATCTGTCCACACCCGCCATCACTCATCACTCATGGATGTGGACGGGTGTAGACAGAAGTGTACTTCGGATGTCACTGTGGACTGAGTCACCCTGGAGTACACCTACATATCAATGCAGCAAAGTGAGAAAACCACTTTAGGGCAGCAGAGACAAGTTGTAAACGCAATACTGACATCTTAACATATTAAAACTGTGATAATGGCCAAGTTGTTAACAAACAGTTGCTTATTTACATATCCAGTAAATAGGAAATTAGCATTCACTTGGGGTTGTGCATCTGGCAACCTGATTAATATTACTGAGTCCAATAGTCGCTCTCTTTTTAGCTCTCCACTAACTTTTGAGGGAAATATCCAGTGCGTTACCTACAAAATGCTCCATTATGTCCACTTGCTAGCTGCTAACTGACATTTGGTGCTGGACAGGTATTTTAGCTACCTACCAAGTCTAGAAATGACACTGCAAACTGTAGGACCAAAAGAGTGAATTAAAGACCCTGAAATGCTACATAGGGCTGTGTGGAACTGCAGAGTCAATAAGTTATTGTGCGGATACATCAAAAGTGGCACCTTTTACATTCACATTTGGCCTATTTATGTAACAATATTGATTTTATCACATTTAAATAAGCCTAATCTTCGTCTAAACCAGGACAAAACAACAGTTTGTAGCAAAATTGCAATTTTTGGAAAAAAGAGGAATATACAAAACAGAAAAACAACTACACCTTGCTCTGTGTATGATTTCGCATGTACATATTTGTACCATTTGATTTCAGTTTGTTACTGACAGAAATGTACCTTTTATAATAATAACATTTTTCAGGGACCTGAATATGATTACCCTCCTTTTGCATGACATTTCTGCATGAAATTTCAGTTCAAGAAAGAACCACACTGCACTCTCACCAAGTCATTTATATGGTAATCATATATATGGTGAAAAGAGATATCTGGACACCTCAGTATCATCTGAGTTTCTGTCCAGTGTGAGGATTACTGTTTTAGAGAAGAGAGATCCATCTCTGCAGGGCAATCTCCATCATACCTTTGCAATCAGCACAATCAGAGCCCAGGGCTTGTAGCTCTGACATCAGGGTCACGTGGCCTCGGGGTGTCAAAAAAACTATTCACCGATCAACATAAACAATCAGTCTCTGGTGTGGTGCCAAACCCATCTAATTTTCATGAGACTATATAAATCACAGCCAAACAACTGGAACTGCAATTTTAAATGCAATTCAGTTTTGGACCATTTTAAGCCTAAGTACTGCTTATAATAGCTGCAGAGGGGCACATATGTCATGGTCTGAGAGGGCTTTCCCCTTCAGGGACTTGTCTTCTTCTTTACTATCAAACACTGATTATCTCCACCAACCCCCTTCTCTGTGGAAGCAAAAGCTGCGAGGAAGCTAAAGGAATTCCAAGCATGAAGCAGGAACAGAATCGAGCAACTCCAGTCTGGATATCAGCCTAGACAATCTTCTCTTGTGTCCAACTCTTTAGTAATAACAGAATCTTTTCCAATGTTTAGAAAAAGCCAAAAATAAATAAATAATAATAGCTCAACAGCTGCTTTAAAGACTTGTCCACTTTTACAACAGCAGAACCATGGCTAGTGTTCCCTTTTTGTGAGGTTATTACCAGGAAACCTAAATGAAAGATATGTACTAAATATTAATTAATTACTCATTTAGTTACACTGAGTAAAACTCTGTCTGGCACCAAGTGTGGAATATTCTTATTCAAAATGACCTCTCTGGTATGACAAAGTAATAGTAGAAGTTACTGTGTGATGATACCAGTTAAGTCTTGGGGAACTGCACCTTCTTTAAAATGAAACTCTACGTTGTCTTTTTTTTTTTAACACAATGGAGTCTGAAATTACAACTTAATTTCACAGAAGTTCAGTAGAGTATCTATTACTTATCTTGGTGTTTACATTTCAGGCATGAATTTCATGTAATTCAAGATATTTTTTTTTAGATTTTTTAAGTACATACCACTTTCTTAACATTATAATACATTACAGAGCAAAACAAACAGACACCAAATGTGGGTAATCAATGGGGTGAGAGATAAACAGTTTGGGATCTAAAAAAGCTCTTTGTTGCAAGTGTATTTAGCTTTAAATGTTTCACAGTCACTGTCATTACAGTCTCAAATGCATGTGTGAGCTGCAAATACATTAAATAACATGCCAAGTAATCACTCTTATTAACAAAAACCAGACAGGATTAGACACATTACAGTAATGGGCTAGTTAATAGCATATGTACGAACACACAAGACATGTCAGTCTTTAAAGAAAATGCCTGCAACAGAGCCACATCCTCTATTTTCACCGTCAGTGATTAAGGTGACTTCAACTTCCCTTTTCTGTTGGACTGTAAATAAATTTTGTTTTCATTCATCTGCTGGACTGTGAGAGACCATGACAGGGAGAGGACGGCATCTTATCTGCCAGTTACAGACCAGCAGAGCCTGTCATATCCGAGCTGGAAATACATGGGGCTTCCAGTTACATGCCTCGCCCATGAAGTATGAGGACTACACACTAAATATGCTTATTCATATCTTTTAGCTAAAGGTAGTTTAAACCATTTATAGCTGGGACAAAGTGAATGAATCAGATAATAATTATGCATCCATAGTATATAATTCTGTCAAATACAGGGAAAATGTCTGTTTACATTTTCCCCTGTATATATACCCCCAATTATTTACAGTTTATTACACATAAGTGGGTTTGATAATATAGAAGCCAATGAAATGCTGACAAGTTTATATTAATGGAAACTATCTGTTTGGTTGAGTTTCTGTGCAGTGGTGTTAATGGCCAACTCATATGTGACGCCTTTATATCTTTAATATTGTTCATACTAAATGAATGTTGCTTTTGCAAAGGGCTAGCCAACTGTCTTGCTGGCCAGTACAGCAATAACATTAACAATGCATCAAGTCTCGTAATTGTCTCTTTATTACACAGGAGCCAGTCCTGGACGCTTCTCCCAGAAATAGTCGGAAAAGTGCTGTGCACAACACTTTAACGAAGGTGGGTAAATAAACCGGAGGCACATATGCAAAACCAACCACTTAGTCGCCACAGTTAAAGTCTTTTCTCTTGTAAAAGCAAATTATGATATTTGAAAACACCTCGATTAAAGAACAAATCTCACCTTTATGTGTCTTTTTTTGGCGTCTTCTTCTCGTTCGGTAGCGCTAAGCATCTCGTTGCTCAATACTGCCAACTGGTGGTTTTGGAGAAAACCCAACTTCAACTGGTCCAGAGACATTGAGAATCCGACCACCAGTTGGCAGTATTGAGCAAACGACTGCTTGGCGCACTATAAGAAGGCGAGGAAGATGTCAAAGTACGCCAGGACAAACCACATAAAAATAAGATTTGTGCCTTAAATTAAGCGTTTTCATACATCTTGGCTTACTTTTTACGGAGAAAAGATGTTAACGGTGGTTGATTTTACATACATGCATCTAGTTTTTTCGCCCTCCTCCGTTAAAGAGATGCGCACAGCCGTCTCCCGACTGTTTCTGGGAGAGGCGTATGGGACTGAGACAGTCCCGAACGGGGCTAAGTTGCATTAAGTCCAGACATCGGCCTGTAGCTTTCAGACTTCAACCATAGCCAGGTATTCTCAGTATGCATACTAATTGTTCTTGGACACAACACTGGTATTCCAATGACATATGGAAACGTAATTGAGTTTTCTTTCTGTCCGAGCGTCGCATATAAGTTAGCATTACATAACTATTTAGGCAGTGAGCTGCTGTCAAACAGACATATGTGACTTCAGAGAAGTCAGTTATAGGCTACACATTAACATAATTACTTAACGTTACCTGTTTGCGATACGGAGTCCTTATTGGGTTTCCAGTATTAGCAAAAATCATCCTCAGTTCGAAAAGGGGGAATATTTTAGTTAAGCTAAAAAAAAACTCATATAAGTAGAAAAATCGTTTATGTGAATATCCGCCTTACTCCACTAAATTGTACAAAAATAGATTTCTAGGCATATTAACTGTATTCATATCCTTATTATCGTCGACTACCCGGTAACATAAGCGCCCGTAAACCATTCCAACTTCAGCTGCCCAACCCCGTTCGTGTGACTGGCTTCATTGATTTGCAGTCAGCGCTACGTAGGTCAGACGCTGTTACGATGGGAGAAACCATTTCGTCTTTTGGAGTAGGGGTAGCCTTTTAACAACGTTCCACAATACAGCGCAGTTTGTTTATCTTTGGTATAATGAATATACAATACGATTTTGCTAACAACTGAAAACACAATCTACCCTGGCATTTGCGACTATTTCTATCTTGTTTGTTATCTAAAGAGACCATACTAAGAGCCCGTTTTCACCTCTGTTGTTGTTTATGTACTAAAGGGTGCATACCAAACATTCCACCATGCGTCTGATAGTCCTGGAAGTGATATTCGGACAAGTTTCAGTTTACTGAGAATATAATCAATGGATTAGGATTCCATTTAGTACTTAGGCAGCAATCTACCAGTAATCAATATAATCTTTTATGTAAAGAGACGTGATAAACTAAAGAAATTTTAATAAAAATAACCTGTCAATATAAACACATTTTAAGAGATGTTGTAAATATATCGTTTAAAATGACATTTGATGAAACAAGAACAATCAGAAATAAAATGAACAATTAACCTACTTAACCAGACACGTCTAGCCTACACATGTGTATTTGCATCATCTTTCTAACAGCCTACAAATAAAAATAAACTGTTGCTTAAGCCACACATAACAGTCATAAAACATGGTGATGGCCTGTTAATTTTACATTATATCAAGAATGAATGAAATGGAACAAATATTTGGTTTGAAGATGGTTAAGGTCACTGATATAACATAACAACACATTTCCTAGTTAGCCTACATGAATAGAAGGTGCTTTTGAACAGCCTTACCCCTGTAACTTTGGCCACCACCCACAATATAGTGGAGATGACTGCAATTACATTTGTTGGACACTGAAAAAAGACATCTGAAAAACCCAAGAGCAGGGTGTTATGTCTTTCCAGACACAGCAGCCCAGTCAGACGGGGCAATAAATAGATAATTTAAAAACTGCTAACAGTGACTGAGACAGATTTTCCAGTTTAACTACTGACTGACCAGGGCCTTGTTTTTGGGAAAATATACATTACTGTTGTTTTTACATTACTTTAACACCAAAATGAAACGCAATTCTCCTCCACTATATTTGGTGACAGAAGTGGTGGATACTGCAAAAATGGCTTATGGATTGTAGAATGTTCTTTTTATGAGGTGGTTGCAGTGGTGGTGGAGTTTGTGTGTGTGGAGAGCTTTACTGGAGGTGCAGACTGGAATATAAAACAAAGTCATTCTACCCACCATTGTCACTGGAAAACCAACAGTGATGGCAGAAAATGTGAATTAATAGCCAACCTCAGCACAGTACAATCACCTGGTGCATGCTGTGCTATAACCACTGTCTTGTTCTGCCTCTATAGTCTCCCTAAACAGTTGAACATCCCAGTCCTCCTGAGTCCAGTGTGGTTGTTTTGTATATAGTACTGTCAGCCAGAACAAATAAGATGAATAAAATTCAATTGTAATATTATTTGCATCATATTCTATTTTAACTTATCAACCAACATATGTTCAATACCTAGAGAGAGCATAACTGAAAGATGCTCTAAGCGTGTAATACAAAAAAGGCACCTTGGCATGCAGGATTCCAGTTGTGCTATCACACACACACACTGTCAGTAACAGAAAGTATGGTTTCTAATAAACACACAGTGTGAACCTGACTGAATACTATAATGGATACCCTGAATATATTCATTGAAATTATCCTTGTGAAGCCACTATAAAAGGTTTTGTTTTTGAAATTATCCTTGTGAAGCCACTATAAAAGGTTTTGTTTTTACCTATGGCATCAGCACAATGTGTATACAGAGGTGTGATATACTGCCACCTTTTATGAAACAGTGAAAGTGATCCTTGTGTTTGTGTAGCTTTATAATAACAGGGGAATAAACCTAAGTATGTAGGCTGTCTATTATAAATGAATTAATCATTTTGAATTTTCACTGCTTTCCATTACACAAACCAGACCTGGAATGAATGTCTCATTAAATGTTAATCCTACAATGTATACAATATACCAGTACATTTGCTATGAAAGGCAATAGAAGAGCAGGTATCTGTAGAGCATGCCATTCCCCTGAAGGAGACCTTTTTTCATTGTACAGATACAGGTTTAGATTGCACATGCATAATCACTCTAACAGGCATATACATGCATAGATGCAAAGATTACAAGATAAACTGATACACACACACATACACAAGCTCACACTCACACACATAACTGGGTATTTCCAAGGGAAATAAGAGAGTGAGAGGTATTCTAGGACATTGTTCTACTTGCTCTCACACTTCCCTGAACTAATGAAAACATTTTCTACCTGCCAACAACTCTGATGTATATGAAGTGTTGCTCTCTGTTTGTAATGACAACTAAAGTTTCGCTGCTCAATTTGTGAAAAGCAGAGAGACACAGAGAGATCCCCTCACTTCCTCTTTGTGTTGGGTTCCTGAGAAGTGGCACCACCATAATCAGTGATGCACAGAGTTTTAGCAGCTCCAGAGGATGTTTTCAGTAACAGCTCTGTACCTTCCTGCCTGGATGGAAGGGTTGGGTTGGGTTGAGGATGTGTAACCTTTCTTTGGTGGGTGTAGATACTTTACCCCTGACTCTTGACTGCAAATGCACTATCAAAGAGAGTTATAAGTGCTTATATGTGTGTGTCACAGAAAAAACACACTTATGGCCTTTAATCAAAGTGCTGTTTTGGGGGTTGTGTTCATGACAGCTCTACTCAATTATCTAAAAATGTAAGTCAAAATGAGTCACTTTACTGCTTCCATGTAATCGTTTTTTGAATGGCCAAGAAGTACAGTACACATGATTAGATATTTGACATGACTGCTGTCATCATATTTGTTACTTAATTCTAAGAATTCCTCCACATATAGTATATAATCAATGTTTTGTTTAGCACAAGCGAGAACTTGGGTATCATCACAATGGTGAGTGCAGCAGTGTCATCCATTGCCAAGTTGATTTCATTCTAACACTTTATTATTTTGTTTAGGTGAGTAAATCGTTACAATTAAGAATATTATACAGCATTAGAACACTTGATATTTAAATATAATAAAGATGCTTAAACACACAAATATGCATCATTCATTGCAGCTGAAGTATAATCCTGGACATACTTCATCATGTTAACATGGCTTTGATAATAAAGTACAGTTTCATTGATCTCTAACATCACTTTTGATTTATAACCACCTTATAAACACAGGGTTGCAAATACAAATACTCTTAGCACATTATATGTCTCTATAATATCACACAATGACTTCGGTACTAGCTTTTAGCTACTGTGGGCCTGTGGTGACTTAAAGGTTGGAGTGAGCTTGTGACCTGAAGATTGCCTGTTCAATACCTGCACTGGCAAGACTAAATCTGGGGGGGTCAGGTGACAAAGCCACACTTGCTCCACCCTCATTAACGCCATTGCGGTGCCCTTGAGCAAGGCCCTCAACCCCCTAACTGCCCCAGTGGAGCTGCTCAGTGGTCAGCAGGTAGGACTGTGGTTGTACTGAGTAGCTTCCAGGTGTTAATGTGTGTGTGATCAGGGCATCCCTGCAAAAAGGAGGCAGCCTCTCGAGGAACCTGCCCCGTCTAAAGGTTAAAACATAGACATAACATACAGAACTGGGCGACTTTTATTCACATTTGTCGCTGACATTTTTACACAAATATTTGAAGCTTTTCTGAATACTTTCTAATGTATTAGAGGAAATAACTGACAGCAGCAGGAAACACTTTCATGTGGAGCCTGACTTTCATTTTTCACTTGTCAAATGTCTTGAGAAAGACAATCATACGTGTACAAAAGTTGTTCTCTCAGGTCTGACATAAACAGCAACACAGCTAGCTGTTTCATTATGCACATGCTGCAGCCAGGCAACTCTAAATACATAAAATGTGGTTTAATGAGTTGGCATGTCACTGTGTTACATTGGGGCAACATTTTTGTTAAAAATGTCACTGTGTTACATTGGGGCAACATCTTTGTTCCAGAAACCACACCAAAACAAATTAATTTTAAAACCAGTATTTATATATTTGAATGAATGGCCCTGTTCTATAGAGCCCATTGACTGATAACTGCTCATGTGCTTGAGGATGCACTAATGCACCAAAAAGTTTTCCACTACTTTCACTAAATGCAAACTGATAGCATGAATGCATGATCTGTGTTCCCTGCTGCTGGTAGATATTGAGTCTCCCACTGATAGAATTTTAATGAGCTTGTGTAACAGAGAACACTAGAGGGCTCTTTACATGAGCTGAAGTACCTTCAGGCTAGCTGGGTACTTTCCTCTTAACCTCACATAGCCTTTCACATTTATTCTAGTTACACTGACTTTTTGTGCTATTTTTAACTTACAAAGTGACATAAATGACCTTTGCTCTGCCCTAAAGGACTATTATCTTGTGGTTGGTTGCGTTAATATTCTCAGTCCAAAAAATTAATTTCAAAAGCAACAGATGCCAATTTGTGTGCAATGTTTAGTCAGGATATGTTCTGAAGAGCAAACACGCTATCAGTATCACAACTGCAAAAACAAGAATGCAGCTGTTTGTACAGCTTACAGGGATAAAGTCTTTATACAGTGCACTCAGGCAGTTAGTCACATGTCTCATCGAGTCCACCCAGACCCTGAAAAGCATATGCAACCCAACACACTGTACCTTGGTTTGCAGGTGTTGGGAATATATTAGCAGAAAGCTAAAAGCTAAAATGTTATTAGACTGACCAAAAGTGAAGCTTTGTGTTTATTATTACACTTTGAATTGTATCATATTGATTTAACAATACTTGGAATAAGAATATATGGCTGATCAACCTTTTAGAATTTGTTTGATGATAAATAGTAAATAAATGAGAGGTTTGTGATGTAGCTGTTCAATGTGAAGGTACAAATGAGTATGATGGTGCTTTAATGCAAAGTATTACTTCACAGAAACCCATTTGACCCTCCCTGGAATTTGGCATATAAAAATCCATTAGCCTACAAGAGTGTGAGTCAGGCACTGCTGATGATAATAAATTGCCCCATAAAGATTTAGAATACAGTGACTACTGGTATAATTTTCTCAAAACTAGAGAATCCTCTCACAGTTTCAGAACACATTCATCCCCACCCCACCCTCTTGGAATAAATAGCAGGAAGTCCCAGAGGGCTGAGCGTCAACCAAAATAATATTTTACACAGCTTTAGCTTCTGGTAGTGGCTTACCAGTCTGCTCAGACGTCACACACAACCTTTATATATTCCAGTGAAAATATAAAATTTGACCCCTTTATTGTATTTTAAATTGCTTTGGCTCTACAATTCAAAATTAATTAATGGATAAATAAAACAGTATGTGTTTTGCAAGCATTCTTATGGATAAAAAAATTGTAAAAAGAGAGTAGAAATTACATTTTAATTTGTAATTTGTCTACTTTTCATTCTCCTTCCCCTCTTTCAGACTCCTAAAATCTGATGTGTTTCCCTCTGCATTCCTTCTCTCCCCTCCTCCCCCAGCATGCCAGAGTCCACAGCTCTGCCCTCTGTCTGAGCTCATGTTTCTGCAGACCTACAGCAGATTGTTTATTTTACTAGACATGGGGGAAACATGGATGGACCTTAAGATTTACTGTTAAGCTCCAGCCAGGCTCCAGTGTGATGTGTATCAAGAACAGGGCCCCCTACAACAGCAAGCTCAGTATTCTTATCTGACTCACAAAGGACAATGGGATTGTCTGCCTGGGGAAACCACCATTAGAAGATCACATCAGTTGAAACACCATGGTATTATGTATGCAAATAATACATATTCTGCTTTTTGTGGAGATCTATGGCATAGATCATTAAATGAATCACATATAGACCAATGTGATCAGATGTCTTCTCCAGGGTAATGCTGGAAAAGGACACCACATCTTCCCAGAAGGCATTTCAGCTGAAATTTATGGGGGCTTTCTGCACCACTGATGATCACATGTAAGTGGTGAGATCAGGGTATTATTAGACAAAGATTGGTTTGGAGGGCTCATACTACAGTATATTTACTTTAAGTGGCTGCATGTAACAGAGAGTATGGTTTCTAATAAACACACAGTGTGTTCCACTTTTTCTTTTCAATACCACACTATGGATTACTGAAGTGCTAATGTACTGTCTCCTCATGCAGTCATACAATGCAGGAAGTGAATGTATTATTGACAGAAATTTTCCTCTGAGATGTGAGAAAATGTCAGCTCTTGCCTTTCTGCCTTTGTGTTAGTGTTGTAATTAATAGTAATGCATTGGAACACTGTGGAGGCAATTATGATTTATGAGTTACACAATGGAGGGTGAAGTACAATGAATATTTACATTGGAAGAAAGAAAATGAGAGAGAAAGGAAGGGAGAAGAGATCAAACAGAACAGATCGCCACATGAAAAGGAACACAGTTTGCACTTATAATCTTTATTGTGGTTTGTTCTCACCCAGGCATGGCAGGCAGAAATGTTCCTGTTATATCACCATTTTTCATGATGTTGTTTTATTTGTAATAGATAAATATAACAATAATCACTTTTAGCCGTCTCCGGTAAGCTGGTGGTTAAGGCGCAGCGCTCTCGCCGCTGAGGCCCGGGTTCGAATCAGGGTTGCATCAGGAAGGACATCCGGCGTAAAACACGTGCCAAATGTCAACATACAAGTAGTCAGGGTAGATTTGCTGTGGCGACCCTTAAACGGGAAAAGCCAAACGTGGCTTTCTTTCTTCTTGGCCAAGTATGTTATACACACAAGGAACTTATCTCCGGTGCCGAACTGAGGCAGCCATCTGCGGCACCAACTCACACACCAATGGCGGCGCTGTCCCTGCTCTGACCACTGGGGGCATCTTTGGGTTCAGTGTCTTGCCCAAGGACATGTGGACTGGGTAGACTGGGAATCAAACCGCCAACCTTCCGATTAACTGTTGACATGTGACTCCCAAATACATTTTTCTTTATTAGACCAACTTGTGGTTTTCTTGTTACTGAGAAAAATGTGTTTCAAAATAAACATATTAACTAAAACCAGATCCACATTAATATATCAACTTCTATCAGCAAGCAAGAAATTAGAACAATATCAGGGCAGGTACAAATATACATTTTTTGTCTGGTAAACAAATATTGCAGCACAATCCGTATTTATGCACAATAATATAATCAAATGCAACTCGGCCAGCACTTTCAACTTGATCATTGCCATTGATAATGAACCCTCTTAACAACCATATATATACATACATAAACTGCCATTCTAAAGCCACTATGAGGAAATCAAGAAGATACTTCATTTCAATAGGTCTCTCTTAGCTGCCACCTAGTGGTTCTTTTTGAGGTGTTGACATTTCTGTGGCACATAATGCAGTCTGGGACAAGAGTGCATTTAGGTTACGTCAGAGGTGATATGGATCAGAAGCATAAACTTAAATCATGTGCAGTCATACCTCTACATAAAACAAGGGAAAATCTGGATAGTAAAAAGAAATGTCAGCTGGCGATGCCTCAGAGTGGCGTAATGTCAGCAGGGCAGAGTATTGCACCTTTGTTTGCTCACCATATGTTCATACTGCAAAGAAGAAAAGGAAAGGATATATGTGGGGAAACTGCTAACATATGTCCAAAGCATTAAGAAAAACAAGCTGCAGTGTTTTCCTGAATTTAATTAAGATAGCAGTGACACGTGCATTCTTATTTTGGGATTTCAGGTTTCAAAAGAAGTTTGTAAAAGTATTTTTCAGCTACCTCTCCCACCCCTCTTCATAAACATCAGTTTACTCTAGTTTGGTAACAGTTGACATAGACTACACAGTGTTTTATGTCTACATTTTATGCCTTCATTTGAAAACCTTAGGTTAACAGTATATATCCAAAAATAAAATAAATGTAAACAAAGCTGCAAAAGAAGTGCAACTATGGTATGTGAACTTTTCACTGGTGCTGGTAAACTTTATATTGTATTGCCATTTCTTCCTCAGATAGTGCTTTCATAAGTCTTTGAACTGGTTTTCATAATTGCATTGCAAAAAAAAAGTCCTTAACATCATACGTCACTGAGGCCTGGCCACAACACAAACACCGGATACTATGTGGAACAGGCTGTGGCCACATTTTACCATAAATATCACCAGGGGGCGCTAAAGCTTACGAGCACACCCCTGGACTGGGTAACTGTAAGGTTAAGCTCAGTGAATGTAGAGGGAAGGAATAGTTTTGTCAAGAATATACTAGATAATCTGTAAATATGTAAAGAATATAATAAATGTTGTGAAGAAGGTATCAGTTAAGACTCAACAGACAGATTTTTCAATATCTATAAATACTGTATTTCCATTACAGAAAAAAAGGCAACAAAAAAGGCACCAAACACACACAAAATGAAGAAATACATGTTGCTCTTTTTGTTTTTAAATTTCAGTTAGTTACTTAGCCACAAGTAAATAAAGTCAAGTGCAGTGCGTAGAGCACACTGTGGTTAGTATTTTTATTGGATTTTACCCAGTGACCCAAAAGCCTGTTGTGCTAGAATATCATGTGTGTTCAGTGTGTTAATTAGTGGGTGGTAATTTGACAGAATATAATTTTATTTAGGATGATTCTCCATGCAAACATTGTATAAATGAAAACAACAACTACAGAAAACCCCTAGGGCCACAAGATTTAGTTATAATGCAGGAAGCCAATTATTTTGATCTGTATTGCTGCAAGTTTCCAAAGAAATGAAGTTATCAGGTGACCAAAAACCAACTGACACACAATGAACTGGGGCCTTTTGGGGCCTCTGGAGGTCTAGAGGCAGTTACCTGGTTTGTCCAGCTGGAAATCCAGGTTTATATGTGTCCTTTAATGTTGCTTTGTGTTTCTCTTATGATATTGTCTTATATGTCTTATAAAATATTTGTGTTATCTGTTGAAAGGTGCTATACGAATAGTCCTGTATTGCCTGTTACCACGGCTGAACACATACCTTCCGAGGGCCCCACACATGCTGCATGTCAACTGTTTTGTTGGCAATTTAACTGAACAGTAAAGTTCAAAACAGAGCCTGCATGCCTGCTTATTTTAAGACCTTGTCATATAGGTGAGCCCTATGCTTACATGACACATATTGCTTAAAAATGTTTGATAAAATTTCCACAATAGGGACCCAATAACATTGTTTTGTCTGCAGGCCCTCCAACAGGTGATTCTGACCATGATTATTACCCTTCTTTTACGATAAAGCAGACTCTTTTTTTCGAAAGAACTTGTTGAATTGACAATAATGTAAGAAAAAAATGTTGCAGGTTAAAATGAGCACAGTATAGAGCTACTTTGGGGACAATTTTCACATGCACAGCAGTCGGTTTGCAGACGCGTAGGTTGGAAGAACCCTCAACCAGCGCTACCTCCCTGCTCGACGCTGATTGGCTGCGGCCGCCTCAAGGCGGAAGTCTAGAACAGGGGGATTCCCCGAGGGAAGTTCCCAACTCCACTAGGCTATGTAAAACATACATTGCCATATCCTCTCTAGCGCTGTAACTGAAAAGTAGGCGACGACGCTGCGGTGGTGTCAGAACAATAAATTCGACTTTAGCAGTTACTCGAATGAAGGTAAGAGGACACTCAGTCCTTGGCAGCGAGGTAAACTGATCTGTGGAGTTGTTGCTCGGTCGTTTCATCCAACACCGGTTGGCTGAATGAGTTTGCTAGCCAGTCACTTATAATTTAAAGAATACGGAACTGTGTGGATTAGACTTGGACTGCTCCACTGCTGTGCCCTGGTATGCTCCAACTTCAATGTTAATATCCATTTACAACTTTTCCTGTACACTTTACTATGGCTTTATCCAGGGGCAGTTGCTATATGGTACCACTGACGTGTAGTGTGTGGCTTTCACATTTATTACATTTTTTTTTTAAAGATTTTACTTTGCATAATCTCAATAAGTATGTCATTGTTTGTAATTATCGGTCAAGGAATGACAGAAAATGTAAGAGTTGTCCATATAGTAGTTGTACACTTGTTGTGCAAGTTATTACAGTACATCGAGTGACATCATGTATTTATTACATTTCAATACCTCAGTTGTTGAGATAAGCAGAGATTAGGAAGTATGTTTACTCTGTTTCGGTACAGTTTTAACATTGCGTCAGTGTCGTTATATAATTCAACCAAAAAATCTGGCACCACTTGACATAGTTTTGATTATTTTTAAAGCAAAGAAACATTATTGAATGAGCATAAGGGCTCACTATGGCTGTACTGTTTTTTTTTTTTTTTTTTTTTACTATTCAAAGAAGTGACAGTTTCTCAGAGAGTGTTTCTTTTGGAATGAACTGTTGGTGTGTTTTAAAACATTTTGTGATTTCACTCCAGGGCTCATGTCTGCTGTGTCAGTGATGACTGTGGAGCACACGGCATGGAAAGGAACATTGGAGACCAGCTCAACAAAGCCTTCGAAGCTTATCGCCAGGTCTCCATTGAAAAAGATAATGCTAAAAAGGAGCTACAGAAAATGGTAACAACAAAATCTTTTCTCGAGCTTTGTGTGAAATTTGCCAAACAATATAGCACAAATAACAAGTCACAGAGTAGCTTTCACTGCCAAGTTTACCAAAACAGATTTTGTATCTTGCTTACTGAAGGTGTACTTGCACTAGTTTTATGTTTTTACAACAGTAATCTGCTTTGCTTTTTACTTATATGATATTGAGAGAGATGTATACACGTAGACCAGGTAGCAGTGCTAATAAATAACAGAAACCTAATCTTTACAGACTGAATATTATGTGGGATACACTCAAACACTTGAAAAGCAGATAAAAGACCAGCAGCTGTTGATTTCAAAACTTCAAGCAAAGCTGTCAGCAACAAGGCAACCATCAGGTTAGTGAACCATAACAGATGATGCCGCTGCTTATATCCCAACTTTATGCAGTATTTTACAAATTTACTACTGACTTACTAATTTTCAGTTGTTGTTTTTTTTTTTTGCATCTCCTCATGTACAAACTGTTGATTTTCACTGTTTTGGATTCCAAGGAGAGATGAAATGTGAGCCTTGCAACCATCTTCTTGACGGAGCTGCCACTTACATGGTAAAGTTGTACCCGGTATGTTCACTGTGCTACACTGTGTTCATTCTACGTCAACATTTTGTGAAAACTGCAACATGATGGATCCAAAAACTGGTTTTTCCTTATTCTCCCACTTGAGCTTACATATGATAATACGTACGGCTTCCTCTCACATGCAAACACACGTGTTTATTTACTTCTGCTTGATGTTAGCTTCTCTTATATCAACAAAGGGTGTTTCAAGAAGCCATTATGCTAGTGGCAGTGAATGTAGAAGTTACTATGAACCTTAAAATATGATCGATCCGCATGTGTTTTATACTGTCTGTCTGTTGAGGATGTATGATCTAAGCACTGTCCTCTAAGTAACCGTTTCTTTCATCTCAGTACATTTTTCCTCGGTGTTACTGGTTGCTCTTTACACAGCCCTAAAGTTGTTTGCAGATAATTTAATGATAATTGATAGAACTTTTGTCCTTGTTCAGACATTCACATCAAGGAGAAGGTAATGCTGTAATAGTACCCTAACTCTCTTTTACTCCACAAACAGTGTATCCACTTTTAATTCACCAGATGGTGCTAGAGGATAATATCACTGCATAGTTAAGCACCTCGAGCTTTACTGTTCAATATTTAACCAACCAGGAAACATTTTTCGCTAGTAAAATTTGTGACGTGTTAATAAAGCTGCAGATGTACTAACAATACACCCTTGGTTAATTGTTGTTAATGTTTATATTTGTAATGTCTTTTCTTTTTTTTTCCAGGAGAATATGGGTACCATTGCTGTTGCTCCTAATTTGCCAGTCAACAGCAGTGTTGACTGGTATGTGTCTAGCACAAAGACTTTTTTTTTTTTTTTTTTTAATCATGGGCATAATAGTTAGAATCAATTTTTTCCACACTCTTTATTTTTTGTTTGCCAGTCAGGACATGCTGGACGCATTTGAAGCAATACAGGGGAAATTCCGGCAGATACGATCTCTAACCAGAAGACAAAAAGATCACCTGAAACGATTCCATGGAGGAAATGATACATCAAATGGTAATATTATTTCCAAATATTACCTGCTGCCCACTTCCTTAATCAGAAATCCAGCTGTTTTCTTAATTCAGCTACTTAGGAGAAAATGTATTGATTTGAAAAAGGCTTTTGTGTGTCATAACAACCTATGCAGGTATTATCTTTTACTTTGTTCTTTTAGATAATTAGATAGTCACACCTTAACTAGGACTGTATGTGAATGCCTTATTGCTCTTTTGAACCATGGTTGGCCACCTCTGTGAAAATACAAAGGATAATCGGATTTAATAATTCCACCGACAAATGCATGATTTTGGCTCTGGGACGGATACAAGGTGTATAATGAATAATATAGCAATTTTTCATATAACAGTTCATATAAAGTGTGATTTTAAATTGATATGAGTACATACATATTGAAAGGACCAGGATGAGAGTGCTCTTGACAAATTTTTTTTTCATATGTGCAACTTCTCAAATCATTGCCAAACCTAAATGTCCTTAAAGCCAGCACTGAAATGCATCAACATGTTGACTGAGACATAAAAGCTCATGTTTTTTTTGCCGTCTGACAGATCAGCAGTTCTCCATGCCCATCCAGTGCACAGACCGTACAGCAGAGGCAGAGAGACCCTTTTCCTCCACACTAAGGTCAGCAGTGGATATCCCACTCCCTCCCACGTCTCTGGCGTCCCGTGGCACCAGCCCTGAGGACAGGGACTTAGTAGACTCTCTCACCAAATTCAGTGTCAAATTCCCGCCCTCTGCGGACAGTGAATATGACTTCCTGAACAGTGCTGCAGAGAGAAACATTGGTCTCACCTTGCCCACGAACCCACCTCTCAGCAGTGTCCCCTCGGCACAGACAGAGGAGGAGCCCGTGGAACTGCCCATGCCTTTTGTCTACCCTACATCCCCCTCCCACTCAACATCATCTTCGCTCTCCCAGGAGAGTGTGCGGGGACCTCAGCAGGTGAGAATCACAGGAGAAGGTCTGAGAAAACTAGTAGCAAATTATCAGTTTATGATTGGTCTTTGCTAATGGAGGAGTGAAACAGTGCGAAGTCCAAAAAATCCCCTTGGCTTAACTTGAAATGTATTACTGTGTAATGTGTGCTGATTCTTTTTTTACTTAAGCATGGATGCTCTGGTTATATTTGGCATCTTTGCTGGAAAGTGTGAGCCAGATGGAAGCACATTACAGTGTCAGAATCTGATGAAACAAGTATGATGTTTAAGTGGGATTTTATTTGCTGTGTATAAATGCCTAATAAAAATTGTGAATGACACGCAGTGAGATCTAAAAGTTGCTCCAGTTTTTCATAATATGATTGTTTCCCTGGATTACATTAATATGGGCACTTAAAATAGGCATGACTGTTTTGATAGCTTGGATGAACACAAACTGTAAGATGGTAAAACACTTGAGAATAACCTTTTGCTTTTAGTTTTGCTGAGTATATATACAGACTGTTGGCTTGACAGAAGACGTGTTCCTTCTGTTCATTAAAGCAACAGATACTTCAACTTGAAGGCCAAGTGGTCCAGCATGCTTTAATAGAATGAGTGTAAAGATTGTTTAGAGCATGAATAATCTACTGTTTTCTTTGGTTCGTCCTGCTCTGCAGCCTCTCTGGAGCCCTGAGCTGTGTGATGCAGTTGACGTGGGGACAGAGCTGGCGACGCCTCAGAGCGGGAGTCCTGATAAATGTGCTTTCTGCAAAGCTGTGGTTCCTCAGGACCGAATGAACAGCCACCTCTACTCGCATTTCTCTCCTAAGAATGATGCAGACAATTGACAGAGGAAGCAGAGACTGACAGGCGGAGGCCGCAACTACTCCAAGACTTTACTGTATTCATGGTCTAGTCCTACCTGCCATGAAGTACAATGCACTGTACTTGGTTTGAAATGACACTGCAATAAGACTTGAATCCCTTTATTTAATATTGAAGAATTGAATGGTACACTTCGCTGCCCAGTATATTTTTCTAATATCACGCTGAGATTTTACTATAGCAAATGATGTTGATGATGCATAACGTGGTATATATGAGCAAATAAAGCCAGCATTTACTCTTGCAACACTTTTTATCATTTCAGTATGAAAACCCACCTGAGGTACTCTGTGGATCCCTACACAAAGACATTAGGTGGACAGTATGTGCACCTATTAAATTTCAAAACAATTTGCATTAATAACATGGAACAGTTTCCTTTTAGAGAGACATTCATTTTTAAGCAAATATGAAGATTTGCTTTGGAAATGGAAATTTACACCGTCACTTCCTTTTTATGTTGCTAGCAGGGTTTTATAGATCATAGAACAACCATATATTATGTATCAGGTACAGGTATTGAAGTCAGTCATTTGAATGGTAGACATGCTGATTAGCACTGTTTTCACACGGGTTCCCATTGCTCTTCCATGTTGTATACTTAAGCCAGGTTCATTTGAGGCAGCTGTATGACGCTGGTGCAGTGAAGATATTTGCTACTTAGGAGTTAGTATCGCCATTTGTCTACACAGATGGCGATACTAAATGTTAGGTACAAACTCACTGTCAGCCAGATGCCCAGTTAGCTTGCTAATTGTGCAGTAATAGTTTTACCTTATGCAATAATCAAACTGCATTTATTGTAGACACTTTTATGCTAATGGTTAAATGTACATGATAATCTATGACTTTGTTGCTCTGGTTATGCTATCAGAGTTATAAGATGAGACTTTCTGGTGATACTGGTTTTAAATTCAATTATAGGGTATACTTGAGTAATAATTTGAACAAATGATGTGTCAATGTCTGCTCCTTGTGTGTTTGCACATCTACATTATGCACACCTATCACTTAATTAAACCTGAGTCTTTTCTAAACGGCAGCATCAGGTTTTGAATTCAGCAGTATTTATTCACACTCTTGCAAATGTTTGCAGGGATTTTCAGAATTCAGTGTGACGACGTTTAAGGGAACTGGGACACTAATGTGTGTTGTTGGAACACTTTTTTGTGTTGTGCAGCAAGGACCTTGCAGCCCCCTCAGCTATGGGCTGGTACCATTTGTGCTGGGTAGATGAGAAGATATGGAGGGTGCAAACAAGCCATTTTAATTTTCACAAGTGCTGGACATTACAACTCTCTTCCAATAATCAAATACTGTTTAAGAGACTGATTCGTTTGTTATTACCACCTTAACTGATGTTTGGCGCCGAGCACCTCACTGTTTCATACAAGGCTCAGAGGGGTGTAAAAAAAATGTGACGCTGTAATGCTATTAACTACTCCCAACTAATGAGTCATTAGACTATGATAGAAGAGCACTACTAAAATACATCATCTATATGAAGAAAAAGATCTAGATCCCATTTGGTGTATTTAGAAAGGTGAACACTACATGCTAATTTAATGTTATGTCCCACACACAACGTGTGTTTATTTTTGAATGACAGAAACATAATTTTACATTTCACATCACATCATGCACACTGAGGGGACAATTTATTCAGAATTTTTTGGCAAATATATATCCCTAATGATCCTCTCTGGTTAATCTGTGAAGATTCGAACATTGTGCAGCTTGCATGCTTTTCTCTCTGGGATCATGAACAGCTGCTTGCTCATAATTATGTTGTCATTCATTGTTATTTGGAAGAGGAAACTCGTTCTGACAGCTAGGGGATTTTTTTGTGTATTTCTGCGCACTGTATATTTACTTGCTTGTGTATATAATTTGAACTATCCACTTTAGCTCTGAGGCATTGTTACGGCTATCATTTCCAGTAAAAAATATCAGTTATTTGCGCCATCTTTATCTTTGGGACATTTGCTACCAGAGGCAGTAGATTTGAAATAGATTTAAGAAATATAAAAATGAAAGGGGACAAAAAAGGAGAGGGATATGGATTGAGACGGAGAAGTAGCAGGCTGATTACAAGGTGTCAAAATTGCCAGGAGCAAGAAGGTGAAAGCAATCAAGGGTGAGAAGAGTGCAGCATTCGTGAGGGGCAACTAATTATCCATCTCATTTGTGGAGAGAAGCATTTGAGGCAGCTCTAGCCCACTGAATGGTGACAGATTGGTGCGGAGGAGAGGGGAGGTGTTAGAACAATGGAGCCCAGCTCACCGTCATTACTGCATGCTAATCAGCAGTGCTTCTGCACCACCGGTTGGTGCTGCAGCGAGTTCGGGGAGACAGGGAAGTCACTGGCTTCAGGGGACCACAGTCATTTCCAAGTAGAGACGAGTGGGAGAAAGCTGACGCACGGTATAGCTGTTGGCGCTCTGCCACTGCTTGTTTGAGTTTGTAGGTTATCCTATGCACAGACTGATCTCTGTGGCCTGCACTCTCAGCTGGTACTTGCAAGATGAGCTGATTGTGCTGAAGTGTTTTTAAGTAGCTTGAGGGAAATAATATATCACATAATTATATTCTGCATATGGTGTAATGCAGAAAATGCATGTGGTAATGTTATAAAAAGCTAGAATAACAAACAGAAAGTGGTAGTAGACATCGTTAATAGCAATCCAACTTTACTGTAAATTATCTGCTACTGTACAAAATATACTCAAATGTTTACTACACTTTATAAGTGGACCTGCAAAAGCATATTAGATGGAATATTTAACAGAAAGAAAACATCAAAGTAAAAAGTGAAAACAAAAGGAACATAAACTGATTTTTTAAAATTAGATTTCAAACAAAAAACATTTTTGAATTAGTCCTTCAGGGTGCATTGAAAAAAATTCAAGTCGGATTCAACATATTTCATGAAATATGCGAATAACAAAGCTAGTTAAAGTGCATAGAGCAAATCTCTAATGATCACAGTTGCTTTCTATTCAGTGGTTCTCAGAGTGAATTGAATACTCTCATACATGGCTACAAGCAAATATAATGGTGTTTAAAGATGGAGAATATAGGCATGTATTTCTGTTTTTGAACAAGAGCATTTAAAATCTACAGTCATTCTGTTAAGTAATGACATTTTTCATAACAGTCAAAAACTTTACCTTATGGATATGGCAACTTTACCTTATGGTAAAGTTGCCATATCCAGTGTTAAAAAAGATCAATTACATGAAATGTACAGTTCATGATTATGCACAAAAGGGTAGCCTCAACACCAAAAATCAAGCTGCAACACTGAAACCTGTTATTACATCTGTGTACACCTGTAAGAGGCATATATGAGGTTAAATGTGGTCAAAAATTGCATATTTGTCCTTTTAATTACAGTTTCCTTTTTTAATAGAATGGCTATTCACCAGCCCTATTGTTTTCTTTTTTATACTGACAATTGACTGATTTTATACTGTGTATAATGTGGATGTTTGGCTTCTGATATAACTGATAACAAGCAGTTCATGCTTGCAGTACAGTATAATAAACACGAGTAATGTTTTAAAGATCTCATTTCTATACAATAAACATACCTTTTTTTCTTTACTGGCCAGTAATTGGACTATGAGTGCAGTAGACAATAGACGAGTCACCACTCCACCGAGTCATTATTTCAACAATTACTCTTCTGAATATTTAAAGTGTTTATCAGATCATGCCATTGCCAAGAAGATATAACAGAAGTCAGGGAAAAAAGAGTTGTTGAAGGGTTTAATCAAACAAAACAGAGAGATAGCAAGTGGATTAAGGTCACCTGGCTAGAATGGCCTCTTCACATCAATGTCATTTAGATAATTAACAACTTAGGAGAGAAGCATATTCAGCTGTCTGTGCACTGGTCACCGTTGGCATGTGAGACTGCCAACTCTCATGGCGTTGCGAGCTGAGAGTATCACCTCACAGTTGTCTTGCCATGCGTTGAGCTCCTCGTGCTCTCTGTGCAGAAGTGGTGGAGCTGACTTTGTGTTCGATTAAATGTGTTGAAGCCATCGCTGCCTGTGCAAAGTCTCAGAACAGCCCCTCTCCATTGTGTTTGTTTCAGTGCTGGTCTGAGAGCCCTGATTTCTGGAGCAGAGATTTGGCAGTCACAGCAAGTGATGACAGAGGCAGTGGTGAGATCGCACCCAGAACCCCAGAGGAGGCTCACATTTCAGGCGGATGAGAGGCTTGTTCAATACACAGAACACAAAAGCAGTGATCAGTGGAGTTTGTTGATGCCATTGTTCTGAAAATTGCATTGTTCAACCACCATAGCAAAGATTACTTTTACATGTTTACCGGGGGAGGGGTGGGGTGTTGGACATTTGTAAACTTATGAACTTTTTAAAGACATTTGGCTGCCAACTTGAAATAATTGTGTGACTGCAAGTCTGGCTCTCAAGATGTCATCCTCCTGTTATTTTATTGTCACTGTTAACTCAGTTTAGGTTGTTTTGCTTCTTGACACATGGGGGTGGGATGGAGCATGGGGGTGTTTGTAGAATAGTAACTTGCAATTCAAGGGTTAAGGCAGCATGAAAGAATCCATTCTCGGTTTAATGACCTAGCCTTGCCGGGCGAGGACGACAGGGAACATGCTCTTGACTTGTACTGAATTTGCCAATTAACACCTCTGATAACAGGCTGCCTCTGAACATCACCAATGTAGAGAGAGGAGAAGCAACTCTCATGCACTTTGTTTTTCAGCCTCTGATCCTGTAATGATAAGGTCTGTGATTTCTTCATACAATGAAAATTATTTTTGCTTTATACATAGTGTAGTATGTTTTCTTTTATAGCAGAGCTTTGTCTGCTTTGTTTCAACAGCTTTGAGCTAAATCCTCCGTTCAGGAGCTGTGTAGTCACCGACTATCAGACTGGCAATAATGTTGAAAATATTTTATTTTTCCACGTGCTGCTTGAATCCTTATGTAGTTATTGGACATTCTATTTTTCGCACATGCCCATATGGCCATGTGCAGCTTCAATTAGACACATGGCTGGTATCTAAGATACACCGTGCTTGATTAGCTTTGTCCCTTGCTATTGTTATATGTGAAAATACAAAACAAGAGTGCTGTCCTTGATAGATATATCTGAAAAGATCCATTCAAATAAGGCCCCCATTGTAGTCACCCCTCTGGTTTCACACATGCTTATCAGACTCCCAAACAACACCTAGTACAGGTGTGAATATCAAAATCCCCAGTGAAAATCGCAGTGGGCGCTCTTGTGTTGTCTTTGGAGTCCTCTTACATACAGCAGTGGCTTTGCATTGGGGCCACAATGCTGCCGGTTAACAGCAACTGCAGAAACACCTTTGGCTAAGTGTAAGGTGGACATCCTTACACCAAATTACTTAATGACTGAAAACCACCACCCTGATCTAATTGAAAAAGATTCTTAAGTGTACAGTAGCTGGTTACTGCCTGGTACAATCACACCATAACACGGTACTTTCACAATTCATTAGCAGGTATTTAAACAATATACAACTGAAAAATGGCTGCATACATCTAATGATAGTAATAAAGTGTAGTGGGTTAGGACACAGAAGCTAACACTTGAAGTGGGAGCTGTGTACAAGTGTGACGACAAAGGCCTTGTCCTAACACTTTGTCAACATAACAGATACAAACACTGTGAAGATGTTAGTCATATTCATGTTAGCAGGACTGATGAGTTTCACTGTAATGCCTCCTCAAGGTTAGCAGATTATAGCTCTCTTGTTCTCATGCTGACCACCTTTGTGTCATGTGTAGAAGAATATGAACCTTGTTAGAGATGCTACATCCAAATCAATTCATTTATTCAGTGTTAAGAAACCATCTGGCTTGATTAGAGCTGAAAGTCATCCTGGCAGGCCAGTTTCCTGACTGACACCTCATAGAATTAGTGGGAGGACAGCTTCATTTACTGTGCTTGCTCGGCTCAGACTACACAGTTTACTTCTCTTACTGTACTCTAAGCTCAGACATGAACTGAGTCTTCCACCAG